TAAATGTGAATGTAGGCCTATAATTAGAGATTCGGAGGAAGTAGAACGTCATTTGAAGAGAAGAGGTTTCATTAAAAATTATTGGGTTTTAACATATAATAGACAAGAATTGCCGAGTAACGTACCAGAGACTACTAATACTCATGCATCAAGCAGTCGAACACATATGGGATTTAAGAAACAATTTAATCTGATCGATGATATGGTTGACAATGCCTTTGGGGTAAATATGACATATGATGAACCTCAAGATTTTGATTGGGGAAGAGTTACTGAATGAGGAAGCGCAAAGATTTTACCAATTGTTGAAAGAAATGAATACGTTGTTGTTTGAAGGATCGTCAGACTCAAAATTACCAATGTGTGTGAGATTATTGGTCGCCAAGCAAATTGGAATGTTCTTGATCATTGTTTGAAATTCTTTGCAAAAATAATGTTGGATGCAACTCCTACGAAAGAGAACTTGGTTACAAGTTATTATAATGCAAGGAGGTTAATGTCGAAGTTGGGTTTAGAAGTAAGAAAGATTTATTGTTGCATAAATGGTTGTATGTTGTTTTATGACAATGAGTTTGGTACTAATGATAGAGCGTTGGAGGAATAAGTTCTTTAAGAGTCTGAGATATCAAGTTCGTTGTAAAGCCATTAGCCGTAAGCAAAAACGTGTAACAGTAAAGTCGATGTTTTATCTACCGATAATACCAAGGTTAAAAAGAATGTTTGCTTCAATGTACAGTGCAAGTCAAATGACGAAGCAAGTTCAGGCACTATGCGACATCCATTTGATGGTGAGGCATGGAAGCATTTTGATTGAATACATCCTAATTTTTCTGCAGAACTTAGAAATGTCAAACTCATATTATGTTCTGATGGTTTTACTCCATGCCTCTAAGCATTCGCAATTGCATATTCTTGTCGGCTAGTTATTGTAACCCCTTACAACCTCCCTCCTGAGATGTGCATGACAAAACCATACATGTTTTTGACTTGCCTCATTCTAGGACCGTCGAGTCCAAAAGCCGAAATCGATGTGTATTTACAACCTTTAATTGATGATTTGAAGAGGTTGTGGATTGGAGAATGGACTTATGATATATCTTGTAAATAAAAATTTACTTTGTAATCTGCCTTGATGTGGACTATTAATGACTTCCCCGCATATGGAATATTGTTTGTTTAGGATTCGCATGGCAAAATGGGATGTCCACATTGCATGGAACTTACAAAGGCTTTTACGTTGGAATTCGGGGTAAAAAGTTCATGGATTGACTGTCACCACAGATTCCTACCACAAGACCATGTCATTAGAAGAAACAAGAGTGATTTTAAAAAAGACGAACGAGAGAAAGATTTTCCTCCCCCTCGATTTTCACCATGTGAAATATGGAACCGAGTTTGTGAACTACTAAAATTCCAAGAGTTCGTTGCTCAACTTGACACTAAACAACACTTCGCATCCGTCGAGCACCCGTAGACTAACGAGTAAGCCGAAGCGGCGAACAGAGTAATCTTACGAGGTCTCAAACGAAGACTGGAAGAAATAAATAGGCAGTGGGTCGAGGAGCTGCACAGCGTGCTTTGGGCCTATCGCACTGCACCTTATTCGTCAACCGTGGAAACCCCTTTTTTCCTAACTTACGGGACAGAGACGGTAATCCCCATTGAAACCCATGTGCCGACCAGACGAACTGAAGCACCTTTGGACGAAGAAACAAATAGCGAGGCCCTGAGGGAAGAACTTGACCTCGTCGAAGAAGTTCGGACTGGGGCAGCCCTCCGTGAAGCCTCACTCAAACAGAAAATAACGATTAGGCACAATGCCAAAGTCATCCGACGAGAATTCCAAGTGGGAAGCCTCTTCCTAAGGAGGAATCACAAAGATTCCCGAGAAGGCAAGCTCGCCACAAATTGAGAGGGACCCTACCACATTAGAGCAAAATCGGATAACGGTGCCTACTACCTAGAACACCTCACCGGGGAAGAATTAATTCAACCATGGAACGTCGAAAAGTTGAAACAATATTTCAACTAAGGCTCTCAGCTATCAACGTGCCTCGCCCAGGAGGCGGACACGACAAACGATCACGAGTGCATGCCCAGGTACAAGAGATATACCACCAAAAAGGATCTAAGCAAGGGTCTGGCGAAGAGACCTACCCATGCTCGACGAAAGATCCTCGGCCGAGCCCGCCGTCGTTATAGTATCATGAACGGCAGAATCCAAGCTCACAATGGGAAGTTCACGCTGCAAACTCAGGCCACGATCGTGACCTGAGCTATACTCTTCCCGGAAACAACCAGGGCTTTCGATCAGTTATTCGCACTGTTGAACATCATCCATCGAGCATAACCGGAACATAACAAATTACTAAGTCCTTCTTTCGACCGCGTTGGACGGTGCAGGACACTTAGAAAGTATTAAGCAAAATACAAACATACAAACATACAACATACTAATACATATTATATAACACGGCCATGAAGGGCCGTAAATGTGCGTGATACAATAAAAAAGGGTCAATCCCCACAAAATAAAATTACAATAAATTACAAGTTTATCAACTGGAACGCAAGCCAAAGCACAAACTAGGAAAGGTTGACTGTTCCTCTTGGGTCGCCTACCCCTGCTCTTCACCGCCTTCACCGAACTGGAGGAAATTGGGGACGAATATCTGACCCTCTTTGACCGTATAGAAGAACTTACGTCCTTCATGGTCAGCTCGACCCCAGGGTTCACCAGCTTCAGTTGGTCCACGGTATTTTAGAAAGCCTCCTCGTCGATGGCCACAAGGTCGTCTACGGCCTGAGCAAATCGAGCGACCAGCTTTGACCGAGTCAACAACTTTTTCGTCTCCTCGAGATCATCCTCAGTGGGGGCAACAACGGTTTTCAACTTCTCCACCAAGTCCTAGGCGGCTTTCAACTTGGCAGCCAGGGCGTCCCTCTCCGAAGCCATCTCCCCGTGACTCTTGCGGGCAACATCTTCGAGCTCCATGTCCCTCTCCTCTTGAAGCTTCTTGACCTTTTCTTCCAAGGCTGCCACCGCAGTTTGCGATTTCTTCAGCTCGAGCTCAAGCGGAGAGCCCTCCTCGGTATATACCACGACCATCTCCTGAATCCTCATCAAAGCATGCGCAAGCATGACCTATTTGCTGGGGTGGTCCATTTCCTCAAGCTTTAGAGATTCTGCCCGAGTAATGGACAGGAACGACCCCTCAAAGAATTTCTTATTATGCAGGCAGGGAGGCAGCTCAAACTTGCTTTTAACGCGCTCCCGGATGAGGTCCACAATTTTACACAATTTCGATTTTGTAGACCTTACTCCTTATATGGAACCAGATTTTCTATTATAAGGTTCAAGTGGTAGAAAATGGTCAAGGTTCAAGTATAAATTTTTGTTTTATATATTGGTATTTATTTTACAATGCAAGTTAGTGAGGTGAATGATGATGATGTAACTTGTCTCTTCAAAATTTTATCACGGTGAATTTAAATAGGTTCTTGACCTTATTGTGGATATTAACTTTTTTGTTTAATAAAATCATCTTTTTTCATGGTATTTTGTATTGATTGAATTGAATATTGTAATAGTATTGGTATTATACTAACATGAAGAGAGGAGATAATTATATAATGTAGCAATTTTTAATTGTTTTTTAAAAATAAAATAAAATTATGGTTTTTTTACTATATAATTTAGAATTATGGTCGTTACAACCATCGTTATTTTCAAGGAAATATATATTATATAATTATGGCGGTTACAACCGTCGGAATAATATATTGGAGGCCGTTTCAAAACCGTCGCAGAATGTTATGGAAGTTGGAGCGACAGTTTTAAAAACGGTCATAAAACAGCCTCGCGACACATGCATCTATGACAGAATAGGAACCGCCGTAATCCACCAAAATTAACCGTCATAATTTTCTAATTTTCTTGTAGCGAGGTGGTATGTGATAAAATATATTGTTGCAGAATTTAGAGTAAGAAAATATTTTTGAGTCATGTTTTTCATTGAACTTTCACTGATGGAGGTTAGGCTTGAAATACTCCAATTTTATTGAATTCACCACACTTTTTTTTCCGCTCTACATACAACTTAGCATTATAAAGCCTTTATATAGGCTTGGAGGAAACTTAAAGAGAATACAATAAATTGGTAATCAAGATGATGACTCTTTGATTCTCTCAATCTTAATTATATAACTCTACCATAAATTTAAATAAGAACAATTATTATAATGTGATAATTACAATTCTCTGTAATGCTTAATAAAGATTGTGATAGTTACTAACACATTAATTTTAACAAATACAAATAGTAGCATTTTCTATCTTTCTAGTAAAAAGGTTTCATAGAAATTGTGAGCTCATATGATAATAAAATTAAATCTTCTTAATTATACCCCCATTCTATAGGATACTCATACATTGCCTATTGTAGCTGTTGTATCAAAGTCTACCACTGTTGCCAAAAGAATGAGGAAGATGATGAAGATAGCATCTCTCATGAAGACAACATAAAATTTCAACTTCGCATCCATGTCTTTTAGCTTCTTATTTTTTGTATTATTACTTTTTTATCTCGTAGTGACCATTTTCTACCTAACTTATAATTTGTCTTGTTTATATAAATGATCTGTTTCATTTTACATTTTCTTGATGTTATTGTAGTGGTTGTAATGTGTAGAACACTGCAGGATTGAGAGTTTCTTTGTGTTTCTCTATGTTGATTGAGAGTTTTTGAAACTTAGTCTTGAAATCTTTTAACTTAGTTTGATTGAGTTTGTCAAAGTTAATTGTTTGAGAAATTGAAACAGGTCTATGAATATTCATTTCATTTCTAATTTTAAGTGTTAGGCCACATATAAAACAATTAAGAATCTGCACTCATAAGGGAGAAGCTCATATTCTTTACATATATCAAATGGAATCTGCACCCAACATTATTTATTCATGAAACTTATTACACATAGTACGTGCATGCATGATGATATAATCAGTTACCATTGTTGAAACTACCACCATGTCCACCTCCACCACGATAACCACCACCACCGTTGTAACCACCACCACCACCATGGTTGTACCCTCCTCCGCCACCATTGTAACCACCTCCTCCATGGTTGTATCCTCCTCCACCACCATTGTAACCACCACCTCCATGGTTGTATCCTCCTCCGCCACCATTGTAACCACCACCTCCATGATTGTATCCTCCACCACCACCATGGTTGTAGCCTCCACCACCACCATGGTTGTAGCCTCCTCCACCACCGTTGTAACCACCGCCTCCGCCATGGTTGTAGCCTCCACCGTAATATTTGGCATTATTTAATTCATCTGACTTTTCAACAACATCTGCATATAAAATATTGTGTGAATTTAATTAAACAGCACATGTACTCATAATTTGGAGAATAATATAAAAAACATAATTTACCATCTTTGGTGTTAGTTGAAGTTTCGGTTAAGTCCCTAGCTGACACCTCTGAAGAAATTAGAAGAACCATGGCCATTAAGCCAAGGATGAGAATTGCTATTTTGGAATCCATTGTACTCAGTTCAAGATCAATTGAAATGTGATATTTGGTAGTAAAGGATGAGAAAAATAGTAAGAAAGTGTTGTCTATTTATAATGGAAGGAAGGAGGAATGGATACGGAACATTTACATGGTGGTTGGGATGGAGCTAATCGGTATTAATTCAATCTTGTCTACTTGCTATTAGCTGAAAGTGACAATTTTGAAATCATACTACTTTTAGTCAACACTAGATATCTCGTACCTAGTGAGCTGCATTCTAAATAGTCGACACACATTTATATGTTTGTCTATATACATAAAAGTGAAAACAGTATTTGTAGTTTCTGAATGTAAGAACTATTATAATTTTAAGTGTGTCCAAGTTTCAAAGATATTCGCAAATGTCTATGTTATTCGGCACTGGCAATTTAGTTCAAACTATATCTTCATTACACAATTATTTTTATAAACTAAAATATGATTAAAAAAAAAAGACACTTATAAAATATTTACAATTTTTATACATTTATATAACCAATTGTTCATAGCAAACTTAAAAAAAATAAAATAAAATAAAATAAAAAAATAAAAATAAAAAAAGGAGTTCAAAATAACCAATGCATTTGGGCATTGCTTTATTTATATTGTTTCTCCATCTTAATAAAAAATTAAAATTATTTTTAAAATTTAAAAATGCATTTTCGGACCTACACAAATTTTTCGTTTTAAAATTATGTCCTAATGTTATAATTAAATTAAATTCGAAAATACATTTTTGAATATCTTCAGGAAGTGGATTTTCAAAACCTACAGAACCAAAAATAAATACAAAAGTAGAGATGAATTAGCATCGATAGTTGTTATGGCATACATAAATAATACATAAATAATCGTTAACATAAATCGAACAATATATTTCATCATCCAACAAGATGTTTCAACATCTTCAAAATATTTTTGGTGGATTTCGCAATTTTTGCATCTAGCCAGATCAAGCCTTTTATTTTATAATGGTGAAATGTACTTCACATAAACTTTAAATCTTCGTCCATTTTCAGCTCAAACTTGCTAAATAGAATGTTTCCTTCATTGTCAATCAAGGGTGAACGGTATCCGAGTTTGACAACTTTTTGATTGTCTGAGTATTCTAGAAGATTTTCTGATATGGATTTCAAATTTACAAGAGAGGTATACTCTGTGACCTTAAATTCAAATGAGGCGTTCACGCCGTTGAAGTAGACAAATACGATTTGCCAAATATATTCACTTTGGTGTGATGTGATTTTATATATATATATATATATATATATATATATATATATATATATATATATATATATATATATATATATATATATATATATATATATATATATATATATATATATATATATATATATATATATATATATATATATATATATATATATATATATATATATATATATATATATATATATATATATATATATATATGAGATGAGAGACTCATTTATACAAGATTTAGGATAATATGGACCTTAGAAATTCAATCTCATCTTAGGGGATATTCTGGAGATGTACTTCTAAACACACCTTATTTCGTTGTGTGAAATTTGTGAAATTATGGTGCATTCGAAAATATATTTCTAAATAAACCTCTATTTGCATTTTTTTTAAAATATTTGAGGCGAATATGTGGTTTGTAGAAGCCCAATTAGAGATTCCAATACAGTTATGGATTGTATACTTGACACTTAGGCTGACAGTAGGCAGTAATGCTTTGCAAGACAAATCTTCATACATCTACCCATAATTTTTTGTGCAATAATATTTATGGGAGGTACCTTATCAGTCGTTATCAACTTGCTTCCACCTAGATATTCGTTGATTATAGAAGGAAAGAAACCAATGCAGCAGCCACGAACATGAACCTTCTTGTAGTCTCTACTTCTAGGCTTGTTAAATTCGTTAAGAATGTTGACAATAAACTATTTCTTAAGTTGAGGATAAAAAGGAGTTAGACCAGTCATAGTTTTTATAACATGAGCATCATCCAATAAATCTACTAGGGGAAATCCTTCTATGATATACATGCTTCCATTCAAAAAAACTTTCTTCAAAATAGAGGAAATTTTGTCCATATGAACAACATGAATGTTAGACAGGTCCTTATTTCCCAAAACAATACTTCGATTCTTGTTGACATAACCTAACACAATATTGCCAAAACATTATCCAAGTCATTTTCAACAATGTACACAACATGAGCAACCTTTATTTTTGGAGTGACTTTCTTCTTAGTAGCACACTTTTCAACAGCTACAATAACCTTTTCTTGTTTCCTGAGAACTCTTTCCTATTAGCCTTTTTCTTAGCCATGGTTGGAGTGGATACCCTTTTTATGGGGGGGTCTTCTTAGGTTTGAGAATAGCTTTATCTTATCTAATTTCTTTTTTTCTTTTCTTTACAGGCTTCTTCTTAGTATTGGTATTAACAGGATCAACAAGCGCTTCAATAGTATGTGTCTCAACATCTTCATGAACATGATCATTATCACTTAAAAAATTACTAAGGTTGTTAGTAACAATGTTCTCAGCATCATGTTCAACATTATTTTCAAGGGCCACAACATTATTATATTTCTGAGTTGGAGACTCTATCTCTAACATGTTGGAAAGGTTGTCCAACACATCTTTATCTTCCAAATTTGTTTCCTGGTTTTCATAAATAGTAGTCCCTTATGATCAGTTCTCTATAATGGTCTCAAATTCACCATTCGTCTTTTCCATCATCCGATCTTCTTCATCAGCAACTTCTCATTCCCAGATCCTTTACTATCATCAAAGTTTGAGTCAACATATTTTTCTTCATTTGAATGCGGCTTGTTAACTTTAGTGTTGTCAGCGTCACTATCAATATTATTACCTTGACTAGCTAGGGTCTCTTTATAACTAGAGTCCTCAATCACCATACGATTGCCATTCAGAATATCCGCTATGAAAATGTCTACAACACTAACAGTAGAAACTTGTATGAGATTTTTATTCGAAATATTTTTAGTATTATCTGTCCTAGGGGGCTCATCATATGCATGAATAAAGTCTAGGGTTTGGGTCAAGTTCTCAAAATCTACATCCTTATTTTTGGGAACTTTAGTAATAATCTTTGGCACACTTTCAACCACATTTCACGTATTTCTTTTAGACGGTTTTGTTGACATTACTTTGAACATCAACTGATACAATCATTTGAATAAGCACAACGCCAAAAACTTCCTTAATTTAGCATAATTTTCAGAAACATCATTGACTTCAGAGTTATTTTCTCACCATCCTTTCCTTTCCCGCTGATGTCGGACATAGACAATGGTTCCTTTGATGATACATCGTCTGTCTTCCTCAGTTTCTTCTTTTTCACCTCTTTAGGTGGTTCCATGGTGGGAGGACCTCCAGCCGAACCATCGGCCTTCTGTAACACCTCATTTTTGGTATTTAATTAATTTGTGTTATTTTAATTAAATTTGTGATGTGTTAATGAATTACTTTATTTTATGTGTTTGAGGGTTGATGGCCTAAGAGGAGATAACACACTCTTTAAAAATAAAAATGAGAGTTTTATTCAATTTTAATTAATTTAATTATTTAAATTGAGAAAATAGGGTTTGGGGTAGAAAATAGAAGTTAGTGGAAATTTGAGGTGTGAGAGTAATTAACAAGATATGGGGTTATCATGAGTAATATTAGAAACAAGTAATTAGGTTTATTTGTCTAGTTTAAATAGAAAAATTGGGAGAAAAGAGGTTTATTTTGCTGTACGAGAAATAAGAGCAATTTTGAGAGAAGAGGCAAGCAAAGGTTTGGAAGAGGGAGAGCTAGGAGGAGACACCATAACCAAAGCTTAAAGAATCTTTAAATCTAAGGTAAGTGGGAAAATTATTCATGTATGGGTGCTTAGGCAAAGTGGATAGAGAGGGTTCCTTACCCTCCTTCTTTGAGATTTCCCTTTTTTTACCATGGTTGAATAATTTAGAGCTTAAGATAAGTTTTTGTAGGACTCTTTCATGATCTATGTATTTTATATTAATTTTTGTGTACTAATTTCATGTCAATTTCATGTGAATCTATTCTATCGAATTCTGAAATTTGGTGTTCTTATGAGTTGTGTTGCAATTGTTGAAGGTGATAACGATTATGAATCAAATCATTGTAATATATGTTAATATGTTCCTATTTGAGTGTTTTAATATGATATTAACGTGTATGAATGAATTTAGTGTGTTTGGGATCGATTGGGGTCAAAATTGGAGCTTTAATATGACTTAAATGGTGGAAACCGTGTTTTCTAGGTTCTAGTATGAGCAATCTAGCCCAACGAGGATGAGCTTCGCCCAGCGAGCGATGTCTTGCCCAACGAGATATGCAGAGTATGGAACTCTAGTTTATAGGATGCATGCGTAATGAGAGAAAAGTTCGTCTAGGGAACGCTCACCCAGCAAGGTGTATGTTGCCCGACGAGGGTGATATCGTAGAATTGAGTTATTTTCGAGTTGATTATGTGACAATATGTTATTTTGACGATTAATCAATATTGTTATGTTATTTTTGAGATTATGTGTTTTTGTTTGATGTGAATTGATGCATTTTATCGAATTGATAACGATTATGCATGAAATTTTTGAGTTTATGTTGAGTTGTAATAAATTGATTGATAATGAGAATTATTGGGTTTCAAGGTGAGTGACCATGAAAGAGTAATGATTAAGATGTGATGAGTCCAATTCAGAGAGGAGACCGTGATTAATATTGATAGAGTTGAGTCGCATTACATACATTCATGAGTTGCCTAGTTCAGAGAAGGGGCCTTGGGGCGGTCCGATACCGAGAGGGGACCATGGCGGGATGTAAATTAATAAAAACCTCTGATAATAAAAAACACTTGGTACCACATGCATATATAGTTGAATTGGAGTCTGGTTCAGAGAAGGGATTGTGATGAGCATGGACCAAATTTAGGATTCGTACATTGCATACATATCTGCATTGAGTATG